AAAAATACAGGTGAAAATGTAAGAAATTCGAAAAACAGTGAATGGCCCTAACAATCCACCGTAGACCCCAGTTTTCAAGCAGCCAGTCAAAAGATATAGCTTGGCAATATTCCAGATAGTTCCTGTGATAACAATATCTAAAAACAAATATTTAATTTACAATGAATAAATACATACTTACTAGCAGACAGCTGTCTTTTTTACTGATAGATATGAAACATGACAGCAGCTAAAGTACATAGTCAAATGTCAAGCTAGAATAAAAAAATGAGGAAGATAATAAGTAAATAAAATTTCCAAATTAATCAAGAATATTGACAAGAATGTTTCCTTTTCTGGATACACTCCATTGCAGCCACTGACTTTCTTTTTTAATAGTTACATAAAATGTATCTTTATGAGTAGAACCAATTTGATGGTCAAATCAAGAGAGCTAGGGGATCCAAGTGAATGTCCCTGGTAACAAATGCTTAATCATGTTTGTATGCATGGCCAAAAGCTGTTATTTAAAAATATTTTATCCATGTAATTCACATGATTTGTATTTTAGTATACGTCTTAATTAATTTTTGGTTAAAATTTTTTAAATGATTAAAGATGAAATTGAAAACTAGCACCCTTAAGCTTGGGTAAACTCTGATTATTAAAGGTATGTTGCAAGTAATTATAAACATATGTGGAAAGGGTGGAAAATGTATCCCAATTTTTTGTTTCAGAAATGTTACATTATTATTATTATTATTGATTTAGAAAGATGTAGTTAACTTTTCAGATTTGTTGCCCAGTATGAAATATTTTTTGGTGAAAAAAAAAAAAATTATATTTTAAGAAAAATTCTATAGGAATTCTATTAAAACAAAATATCATAACAAAATAAGTAGTGTTATTAACAATTTTCCAATATTTTGTGACAACCATCAGTACTCAGCCTATAACCACATACATTGTATGATGTTTTCCTCATAATTTGAGCAAACATGATTTCAGGTAATTGCAAGAATTTTTTATCACAGAAACCAGGGGTAAATAGCTCAAAAATAACAAATTTAATGGAGGTTTCACCTGTGTCTTGTGCGAAAGGCAGTGTGGTGACCATACATTTTTATTCTTGTTTGGTGAACAACAACATAAAATAAAACCGTAATGCAAAATTCAAGAAAATCCGATTATTTGTCTTATTGATAGCCGACTATTATGTAAGGTTCTCGCCACTGTAGAATAAACACATTTATAAAGTGTTCTGATTAGGTTAAACATTTTTCCTAGCTTGCTCGAGAAGTTATCGAAGTTTTGATTTTATGATTAATAATATTTTTTTTTATTTTAATAATAGTTGTCTTCTTAATAAACAGGTTTTAAATACTGTATTTGCTCAATTAGGAGTGCATGTAAGCCAACAGTTCCCTATAGTAAATGTATATACTGTATTATTCAAATCTGACTTTTTTGCTATTCATACAAGGGTATTATATGTACTACTCGACAATAATAGATCACATGATCCCCAGGAGCTAGTATTGCGGGTTGATAATATGCCAACAGAGTTTCCTGAAGAAGCCCTAATTCTAGGGCGAAACGTTGGAAGAAATAAACGTCATTATTACAGAACTGACCAGGTGTATTGTTGTGACAATCTTTGTGTTATTTGTATATGTACTACTAATAGAGCAAATACAGTATGTGTGTAATTAATTATGTGTTTTTAATGGGTTATAAATGAAATATGAATATATGTTTTTTTAATTGTTTTTTTCAGATTTGGTAAGAGCTATTGGAGGTCATGTTCAGATTTTGCAGGATCATGAATCAGACTTTATCAGGCCGCTTTATTGTAATGGTCGTTTGATAAAATTCCATCAGACGAAAGCTGTATGAATATGAGATCATGTTGGGACATATTTCCACATGCAGATATCATGAAAACCAATGTTTAAATAAAATATCGACTTTGCAATATTGGCAGTTACTTAACATCATGGTACATATCAATAATTAAAATAAAAAAGGTATTTATTATATTATACATGTTTTCTAAAACTTTACCACTGTAATTGTTTATTGATCCATTTGAACTTTTGCCATGGTGACAGTATCAATAATCAAAAAACTGGCACTGACAGATACTTCACCAGTAATGTCAAAATTTCTACCTACTAAACTTAAATCATGGCAATTGACAGAAAAATAAAATTCCTGAATGAAAACAAAAAATGGAAGTCTCACATTCTTCACATATTTTCAATTGCATAACTGAACCTGTATTACCATTAACAAAATGAACAAGTATTTTTACACCACAACACCGTCATAGAAATTTTAACTGGAAGATTTCTTTAAGTATTCCTACACTAACTCTTTTACTAGTTATTTAATTAACAAAAATAAACTAATTATAGTACAGCTAGAGCAAAAAATGTTATATTGAAATGGTGTGAAAGTGAAAGTAAAGCATATAAGTTTTTTTTTAGGTCACTGCTCGCTTATTGTGCTATACAAAGTAGTGTGACCCCAAAACCTTGACACGACAGCATCTGATCTGACCAGAAACGTGATAAACAGGTTTTATACTTTTAAAAATTACATATATAACATGAACAGAATTCTCTTCAATAAAAATCTAGCTAAAATCAAACCATGTATGTATATAGTGTTTTTTAAAAGTGGTTTTCAGGGGAATGTTACAAAAACAATTTTGATGAATACATCGCCTATTACTTGAAGGGCTCTACAGATACTGTAAAATACTTTATTTTTTTGCTTGGAATTAATTTTCGATATTTTTGCTGAAGAAATGATTCAGTAAAAATAAAATCCAGTGAATATACCTTTTTTCCTACATTTTACATTCAAATTGTCAAAAATCAGTGAAAATAAATCCCATACAAAACACCCAAAAAATCCTTTCAGCGAAAATTAATTCCAGCTAAAATAAAGTATTCTACAGTATTCTACAGTAGTCAAAATAAATTAATTTTAAAAAAACAGCCCTCATTGTTACTTTTCTATAATTTGATAAACTTAGTCGACAATGCAGATTTAATACATTTTGCAAACTATGTATATTCAATTTTATTAATAGTTGTATTTATAGAACATACTGATGTATACCATGACTTTGATATGGAGTTGTGTAAATTAAAAATTACAACAGAACAAAACAAAAACTACCCAATAATATAACAGAAAAATTATTATTAAATTTTGTAAACAAATTTTGC